TCCCGGCCCGGGCAGGTGACTCCCTGGGTGCCCGCGCCCCGCCTTCCCACCTGCATTCTGCCCCTCGGAAGGGGCTGCCTGACGGGGTGGAGGGCACAGGGTCAAGATCAGAGTCAGAGGCCTCCTGGCGCCGGGATGGACACGGAAGGGGTTAGGGACCCAGGTCCGAGTTAGGAGCTTTGGTCTCAGGGGAGACCCAGGATCTGACCCCAGAGTTCTGACCACGCTGCACTGAGAAAGCGGGGTGCTGTCTCCCCACTGATGTGTGAGCTCCTTGGGACAGACAGCGTCCCTCTCGGGCCAGAGTAAAAGGATCCATAAATGCGTGTGGAATGAATAGGAGGCTAGCTGGGGTCCCTGAAAACCCACAAGCACCCAGGGCCATTCTCATCTGCTCGAAGCGCTGGGTGCAATGAGCTAGCGCCTGTGCTTATGATGGTAGTGCCAGCCCTTGACCCTTTATCTGCATCTACTCCACAAGATGGGTGCAAACATCCCATCCCCTACCTCCGCTTTGTCAAACCGAGGAAACGGAATTGAGCCCGGAGAGCTTAAGGGTAGCTGAGGACACAGGCCCTGCTCGCTGCAGAAGCAAACACGGGAACCCGGGGTAGGGGTGCAGGGGGGCTGTCACCCGCTGCTGTCTCCCTGTGGCTCCACAGCTTCCACTGGTGGGAGGAGCGCTGTGCGGGGAGTCGGTTGCGGCTGCCCCTCTCTGTCCGAGGCTGCGTGACTGGAGAAGAGTTACCTTCTCTGCCTGTCAAATGGGGACCATGCTAGTTCCCAGCATGACATGGAGAATGTGCCGGGCACTGGGGAGTTTGGAGCCGAAGGGGCTCAGATCCTCGCCCAAGGCCTGAGGAAGAGGGCGCTGAACTCCCTCGGGCCCACGTGGTGGGACGCTGAGCTTGCTGGAGCCAAAAGGGAGGGCAGGGCCAGGCCCCACTAGAAGCAGCTCGGAGTCCTCCTGACCCTGGTGGGGCCTGAGCCAAGGCTCCGCTCCGCGGACGTGGGGAATGGCCGCCGTCCGCTCTGTGGCCAGGAGGGTGTGCTCTCCCCGTCTTACAGG